CATTAGTGCAATCATCTGGGACTGCATCGTGGCCATGAATGTCTGCATTTGGGCTTGCATGGCCTGGATGGTTTGGGCCAGCTGTTCATGGCCTGTTTTCCCTCCTTGTTGACGTTTGAGGGGCTGCTGGGGCGGCAGGTTCCTTTTTGCTGCTGCGCTGTAGCTGACGGCTTGCGGCTTTTTGCTTGGGCCTTGTGGCATGACAATTGGCGCTGGAATTGTCCTGCGAGCTGTGGTTGTTGCTGGCTTCTTTTGAACAGGCTTTGCAGGACATCCTGAGTAGGAGGCTGAATGGGCACCTCCACAATTGGCGCATTTCGCAGCCTTTTTCCTAGGGATTTGACATTCCCTAGTTTCGTGCGCTCCTGCACACTTGACGCACTTGGCTGCAGCAGTGCATTTGGACTGGCCGTGTCCAAATAGCTGGCACCTGAAGCACTGCGTCGTCTGGCTTTTGGCGTGTTGGGACTCCACGCGGACTTGCAGATTCCCAAGGCTTCTGACCTCAAAGATATCCTTTTCAGTTTTAGGCAGTAGCACCAGCACTACTGCGATTGGTTGGCAATTCTTTCGCCACCTGACGATCGTGGTTGGGCGGAAGCCTTGTTGGCAGAGTTCCTCCCTGATTTTTCCTTCCGACCATGATTCCACAACTCCTCTGATCACTACTCGGAGTTGTTTCTCATCTTTCAATTGGTACGTGTGGTACTGGAACTTGCGTTGGTCCAGTACCCGGATCATGGCGCGGAAGTCTTCAACTGTGGGAGGGTGCGTTCTGACACCCTCCTTGGTTGTCACGCCACAGCCGTAGTTTATGCGTTTGTCAGCCAGAATGTTTGTGATTTCGTCGTAACGCTCTTTTTGACGGAGGACAATCGGTGGGATTTTTGTTCTCCGTTTCTCAGGTTGCTGCTGGGCGGCAAGGGTGGCCTGCTTTTTCTCCACACTCTGCTGGGCTGGACTGCTGGCTCCCTCGGCACGGCGGCTTTCCGTGGGTCTCTTTTTGTGCCTGTGGACAAATTTCTCCGATTAGATTCGTCCTCTTCACTGGAGGTCGTGGGCCTGGTTCTCTTCCTCTAACGCCGACGATTTGGGCTTGTAAAGCCCTCGCCGTCGGAAGAGTCCGTTGCCGGGCCCTTGCCCCCCTTGGAGGCTGCTGAAGGTGCTGCCGCCTCAGCGGGACCCTCTGCCGCCTCACTCTCACTGGAGGAGGAAGTGGAATCTTCTTCCATCTCCTCCCCTGCGACCTCCTTTTCCTCGGGTTGAGAACGGCTGGCCTCCAAGAACGTTTCCGCTCTTGTAGCCCGGTCCATCCAGTA